CTGCTGCGATGCCGTTGGACAAAGGGCGCTCGGTGCTGTGAGTGCTGGGGCAGCTCGGTCACACCGTGGCATCAGCTGGGAATTGCACACAGCCTGTTGAGCACAAGGGGCATGTGGAAATCGCCAGATGAAAGCACGTGGCTGAAATTAAGCAGGAGGAGAACTTACACTGGTAGCAGGCAACGAGGATGAGGGTAAAATCAAGATGTAAGGAATGCTTGAGTCCTTTTGGAGTTCTGTACGGCAGACCCGACCGATTTCAGTTTAAAGGGAAGCTCTGAGTCAATGAGGTGAGAATTACTGATGTCCTACCGGGCTGTGATGCTGGAGATGAGTAGCCCGTGGCCTCACTGGGTTTTTCTCTTTGGGTGATTATCCACAGAAAGGACAGGGTTACACACACACCTACAGGACGCTCTCCTGCTGTGTCATGAGGATCAGAGCCAACCCCATTGCTGTGTGAACTCTGCAAAGCACAGAGGTAAGGTACCTCAGCACGGCTGGATCCACTCCTAGTCCCAGACAGTTTGTGTCTAAGGGATCCTAGATAGATAGATAGATAGATAGATAGATATAACCTTAGTGAAGCTGACAAATCTCAAACCAAACTATTAGTGGCTTACCGAGGATCCGTACCAGCAAGGTGTCTTGACATCAAGGTAGAAAGGATCTCTGTGCAGGTGTGACATCAAGAGGCATCCCTGCTCAAGGCTGTAGGAGTGGAATGTTGTTCCTGCATTAGATATTAAAAAGGGAGAATTGATCTGAAGAAGCAGAGCACAATGTACTTGTATTTTGTAACTTGTCCTTAGAAACAGGTAATGTGAAAAAGTAGAAATACCATATATGTTAGTAACCTACTTTAGAAATGCAGTTGCTGAATTGTGTGATTAATTCTTGCTTGCAAAACTGCAATAGCTCGTAACTGTTCCAAATAGTGTAGGTATAGTATTATGGACTAGAAAGCATACTGTAGGGCTATATTGGATAAGAGACCCTCAGCAAAAGAAAAACAGACTCAAGAAACATCAAAGAAGCCAGGGCCTCTACACAAGGCTGGCTTGCCTTGCTCTGTGGGTAGGTTGGGATGCAACAGGCAGGGATCAAGATACTCCTCCCTATTCTCCTTTTCTCTATGCAAGGATGAGCAGAAGTCTAGAAACAAGGACTGAGTGTTGAGTGAGCAAGTGTGAGAAGTTAACTAATTAGTGATATATGCTTAGCCAGCAACAATTGATGTTTAGCCAGTATCCGTATGTTCAGTTGAGCGCTGGGAAGATTGTGAACCTGAAGTACTCAGCCAATGAGGAACCAGGGCAGAAAGAGATAAGTGTCGAGTTATAGGGCGTAAAAGATGTAAGCTGCTTTCTGTGTGCTCTCCTGCTTGCGTGAGTTAAGAGAGGACAAGGTAAGGGTTAACCATTGTATAGGAATGTAAGGAGAGGACAAGATAAGGGTTAACTACTGTGTAGCAATGCAGGAAAGCAGGATGTGAGGCCAGATAAGAAAAGAACATCAGAGTGGGCTCATGCTTGACATCTTGTAAACAATGTTGAAAAGAAACCTCAAAATAAACACACGCAGCCTTTGTAGACCCACCCCTCCAAAATCAGCACATTTTGCATAGCCAGAGGTGCCTCCCAAGTCTTCTGTCTGTTGGCAGTTTTACTTCATCTGTTTTTTCTTCAGATCACAGCAGAGTGAGTCTGCCTGCATCAGCAGAAGAGCTGCCTTTGTGGAGGTGCAGATGCAGCCGGCCGTTGTGGAATTCATCTTGACCACTCAGATGTCTTGTACTCCAAATCCAGCCCGCTCTTTGGAGATGGAGCAGGTGAGCATCTTCCTCCATTACCTTTACCTTGATCAGACACCTTGATCAAATCCAGATCTGCACCAAGATACTTGACGTACGCTTTACTGTTGAGGAGACAACAGACTTCTGGTCTGATGTAAGAATATGGCAAATGTGGCTACCAGTATCTTTCTGGGAAGCCAGGGATGCTCTATGAGAACATACAGCTGAAAGTTTGGCTGCTGCTGTTAGGTCCATACACTGAAAAGCTGCACAGAGTAACTTAAATCTTTCCCCCTACTCTTTTCTTTCTAAAATCACTTTCTTCAGTGCTTCTGTGTTCTTTCCCACTTGAGCTGTCTTGCAGTAGGACACAATGCATGATCTGTTGATACTTACAAGCATCTTAGAAGACAAATGGCAATCAGCAGATTTAAAGAAAGCTCTTGGTATTCGTTAGCATTGATGCTGAGAAACAGAAGTCTGCTCTTAATGTGAGATATTCTGACAGCTGCTTTCCTGGTTGTTTCTTCTGCCCAGTCTCTGTAGGTTAATCAGCAGGGCTGTCCAGCTGCATGGCAAAGACTGCACGGGCCCTGCAGCTGTTGCCC